ATAGGACATACAAGGAGCTACAGATAGCCGACGACGCTGGACTATTACAGGGCCCTCTGTATACAGGGTCCGGCAAAAGTGTGTCAGGAATCTGTAGCCCTTAGAATAAAAAAACTGGAAATTTTGTTTAAGTGTTAACCTAAAGCATGTACTAGGATGTATTTCAGGAAAATATTGTAACTTCTACAGGGTGACTCAGAAGGTGTGAGTGGATCGGGTTGATTTTTTTAAATGGAACACCCTGTATATTGTTACATTTTTGGCTTCCTTTCAGATCACTTTACATAATCCTAAGTCCATAATGCTAAGTCAGCCTTTCTTAATAAAAATTATTAAAAATACAAGAACTGTCCCGAAGTCAAAATTATGTTATGGTATTTACGTTAGATGGTCTGTACTTACTTTGCTATAAATATCGTAATCTTATCATACAAAGTTCTACGCCAAACTTTCTTAAATATAAAATAAATTTTTTTGGTTTTTTTTTAATGGAACACACTGTATATTATTTTTTAGTAAATGGAGAATTAAAAAATGAACATTTTTTGTATTTAGAATATTTCAAAATTTTTAACGGTTTCGCAGAGTTTTATTCGCAGTTTTATATTTCACATGGCATTTTCCATAGTAAACTTTTATCAAAGCCACCCAATGATTTTTTCTTGTATTTTACATTGTGTTCCATTTAAAAAAAAAGACGAAGAAAATCTATACTGATATATAAAATCCTTAAGTGACTTAAGGATTTTATATATTAGTATATATATATTATTCTTCGTCTTTTTTTTAAATTATTAGTATAGATATGATTAATCACGATCCTGCTCAAACCACTCAACGTAAGAAACTCAATTTTGGCAAACAGGTTGATTCTAGGGTGTAGAGGTTCGATAAGAAGGGATTTTTCGAAATTCCAGTTCGAAGGGGGTGAAACCATAAGGTGAAATCACCCCACAAATATTACAATATTTTTTATTTAAAAAAACGATCAAGTTTCTGAAAAAACGCTTAAACACGTATATTTTATTTTGTTTTTTTACATATTTTAAGATTTTTTAAAAATGTATACAGGGTGTTTCGAAAAATCTGGTCATTGATTTATCACGATCCTGCTTAAAGCACTTGACGTAAAAAGCTGATTTTTGGAAAACGGATTGACTTTAGGGTGTGGAGGTTCGATATAAGAAGAGATTTTTCGAAACTCGAATTCTATAGTAACTAGAATCTACAGGGTGTTTCATAAAATATGACCATTGAGTAATCAGGATTCTGCGTAAACTGCTTGACGTTTAAAGGTGATTTTTGGCAAACGGATTGACTGTGGGGTGTAGAGGTTCGATAAGGAGGTGTTTCTCGAATCTCAAATTCCAAGAGGATGAAAACGCCCCTCAAATATTACAATATTTGTTATTTAAAAACACGGTTAGTCTTTCGAGAAAACGCTTGGACACGCATAATTTTTTTTACATATTTCGAAATTTTTTAAAAAATCATACAGGGTGTTCCAAAAAGTTGGGTAATTGATTAATCACGATACTGCTTAAACTGCTTGACGTAAAAAACTTATTTTTGGCAAACGGATTTTTCGAAAGTCAAATTCCAACGAGATGAAACTACCCCTCAAATATTACTAAGTTATATAATAATATCGCCATATTGTTTTTTCTCATGCTGACATAAATGTGAGAAAATTTTATCCAGTTTGTACAGTACGTCTGTCCGTTTTGTAGCTACGGGGTATCCGTGAGAGGGGAAACGATATTCTCTCGATGTTTTTCGTAAAAAAATAAACGATGCGTCCCATCAATAAAAATTCAACAAATTTGCAAGTAGCCAATAAAATGAGTGGGCGGAGCGATTTGCAGTGACGCACTCGTCAAATCGACGTATAAAATATATTGCTGTTTATTTAAATGTTTTTTGTCCGCATTCCTTTCATAGACACACATCCAGCAGATGTACTGTATGTTAATGGAAATTCTTGCTTTGCTTTATCATCACCATTATAAATTATTAATTCGACGCGAACGAAGTCGCAGGATAACACGATAGTTATTTTAT